CAACACGTGCATTGTTAGCCTCCATTATATGTTTACATGTCAACACCAACTTAGGTTTACATGTCAACAACAACTTAGATTTTTTTAGGTTAAATGCTTAATTTGGTCCCTCAACTTTAAGAAATGAACATTTTTGGTCCCTCAACAATTTTTTGCACTTTTTTTATCCCTCAATTATACGAAATGCACTCCGTTAGTCATTCTGTTAATTTGGGCCGTTAACCCTGCTTAGGTGGCATTTTTTATATTTTTTTTGATGATGTGGATAACAAAACTTCAAAAAGTGATAACATGGATAAAACTTTTGCCATGTCACATGCTATCTGGCGAAAACACACCAAATCCATCCAAATGGGTCCCACATCACCACTAACAATTGCTTCTTTGCCCATCAATTATGAAGTTCAACGGAACCCAGCAAATCTGGGTTCGATGTAATCCAGCAAATAGGTTCCATCGAACCAGCTCAATTCACTGAATTCAATTGTCCAAAAATCCCTCGCAACAACCTGCAATTTGAATAATCTCTTGGCAAACAATCATATAAACACAAAAAAAAGAAAAAGAAAAAGTGGAGTTGGGTTCTGGGTTCCGTCAAACCCAGGGCTGGGTTCGGTGGAACCCAGTGCTGGGTTCCGTCGAACCCAGGGCTGGGTTCGCTGGAACCCAGCAGAGGGTTCCACCCGAGGAAGAAGAGGAAGAAGAAGAAGAAAGAAGAGGAAGAAAAAAAAAGAAAAAGAGAAAGGAAGAAAATCAACGAATTATTTTATTTTATTTATTTTTATTTAAATTATTTAATTAAATAAAAATATTATCCTCTCACCCTCTCTACTTTCATCTACCAAAGTAACTTTAATATTATTTACCAAAAAAAAAGGAACTTTAATATTATTTCTTTGCTTCCATTCCCTTCTCCTCATTTCCCTTTCTATCCCTGCCCTTCATTTCCTCTTTTTTTTGTTAAATTTTATTTAAATAAAGGTTAAGAGTTAAATCTACTAATAAATAAATGTAATTTTATAAGTCAAATCAAAAGTTTAAGTTTTAATCTCAGTATTCAAAGAAATTAATTTTATTAAATGTATTAAATTGATAAAAGAAGCATAAGAAGTACGGCTTTAAAATTGTGAAAAAAATAATAATAATAAACATTTTAAATTTCATCTTGAGGTGGATAACATGCTTTTAACCCTGATCATTTCGTTCCTTTAGAAGTAAAGATCGTGAATTCTAAGTTGTGAACACATCAATATAGCTTGAGAAATGGGCGAGGACAGAGTATCTTATGGCTTCTACCTTTGTGACCCATTAGAAAAATGTTAAGCTGAGCTTCGAAAGGACCATGTAGACCCATGAGTCCATGACCATGACCCTTACTTTTCAAGTTCAAAGCACACAAATGGGAGGATAAAATATAAACATTTCATCATAGAAAACAAAACAAGAGAATACAACAGAGATAACATCACACACAGGGCTCACTGATTCAACCCGGCCATATATATCCACTTAACATATAAGGTCAAAAAGTGACGGCAAAAACCTCCCGTCTGCCCTTTAACTTTTTGAGTTTGAGGTATTTTACCTCTTATATTACAATATATAGATTTTTATCCTTCATGTTTTCGAACTTAAGGAAATGAGACAAAATTTAACATAAGAAGGTCACCTACAACACGTGCATTGTTAGCCTCCATTATATGTTTACATGTCAACACCAACTTAGATTTTTTTAGGTTAAATGCTTAATTTGGTCCCTCAACTTTAAGAAATAAACATTTTTGGTCCCTCAACAATTTTTTGCACTTTTTTTATCCCTCAATTATACGAAATGCACTCCGTTAGTCCTTCTGTTAATTTGGGCCGTTAACCCTGCTTAGGTGGCATTTTTTATATTTTTTTTTATGATGTGGATAGCAAAATTTCAAAAAGTGATGACATGGATAAAACTTTTGCCATGTCACATGCTATCTGGCGAAAACACACCAAATCCATCCAAATGGGTCCCACATCACTACTAACAATTGCTTCTTTGCCCATCAATTATGAAGTTCAACGGAACCCAGCAAATCTGGGTTCGATGTAATCCAGCAAATCTGGGTTCGATGTAATCCAGCAAATAGGTTCCATCGAACCAGCTCAATTCATTGAATTCAATTATCCAAAAATCCCTCGCAACAACCTGCAATTTGAATAATCTCTTGGCAAACAATCATATAAACACAA